CCAAATAGAAGGAAAGCCACAGCCACTTCCAGGCCAAAAAATAAAAGACAATGATTTACCTCCCTCTCTACTGTCCATAAAACAGGTCCAGCACTCAACCAAAATGCTCAAGTAGCACAGAAAAAAGCAAGAATAAAACCACATTTTCAAGAGACAAAACAACCATCAGAAAAAGACACAGATATGACTCAGATGTTGGAACTATTTGGCAGGGGATTTTAAATAACTATGACTGACACATTAAAGGCTGTGATGGAAAACATGGACAACATGCAAGATCAGATGGGCTGGGCCGGGTGCAGTAGCTCATGACTGGAATCATATACAGCCGGGCATGGTGCTCACACCTGGAATCCTATAGAGGCCGGGCGCAGCGCTTACACCTGGAATCACATAGAGGCCGGGCATGGTGGCTCACACCTGGAATCATATAGAGGCTGGGCCAGGTGCAGTGTATCACACCTGGAATCATAGAGAGGTGGGCACAGTGGCTCATACCTGGAATCCCAGCACTTTGGGAGGCCAAGGTGGGCAGATCACTTGAGGTCAGGAGTTCAAGAACCAGCCTGGCCAACTTGGCAAAACCCTATCTCCATTAAAAATACAAAAATCAGCCGAGTGTGGTGGTGCACGCCTGTCATCCCAGCTACTTGGGAGGCTGGAGCACCAGAATCACTTGAACCCAGGAGGCAGAGGCTGCAGTGAGCCAAGATCACACCAGAGTGAGACTCTGTCTCAAAAATAAATAAATTTTTAAAAACGCTCAACTTACGCAAAAGGCAAAAAAAAAAAAAAAAAAAAAAAAAAAAAAAGAAAAAACAAGGAAAAAAGAAAGGCATTTCCTTGGTTCTTAAGCATCCTTACTTGTCTTGCTTTGCCCCGTTCTCCCGGCCTTTGATGCTGCTCCCGTGCCCCGTGCCCTCCTCTAGCTTTCCGCTCCCTTCCCAGAAGCCGCGCCCCCTGCGCCCCCTGCGCCGCCGAACTGCGCCGTCTGTGCGGCTCTGGCCACGCCCCTCCTGCCTTCGCCGATTCGATTCGTTCTGCGGCACCGACTCTGCTGTCATGAGGTCATCTCCAGACTGGCTGCCAACAAGCAGGGCCGGGTGGACCCTCACTCTCGTCTACACCCTGGAGCGAGTGGAGACTGTCTACAGTCCTGCACAGGCAGATGCTTTTCCAGGACAGATCAGCTCAGCCAAAACAGCCTCTTCTCTCCCGGGCTTCACGCTCTCTCAGATATTCTAAATAAACTATTTTAAAAAGGCTACTTCCCCAGTCAGCACTGTGTGTGACTATGCTAATCTCTGTATCTTCAGAGATGATTTCTGGCGAAGTTACATTTTAGCATTTCACCTCCTGCGTGGTGTTCCTGGTGTTGGGTCGCCAAGAGGATGGGAGGCCAGAGGTGCTGATGGATGGGGGTGCTGTCGCCCAAGGAGCTGCTCTCTCGGGGGCAGACGTGGGCCTCAGGGCGCAGAGGCTGCCCGGTTCTGTGCCTTGTTCTCTGGTCCAGGACCAGCGATCTGTTCATTCGGAGTCACTCCGAGATGAGCGGAACCACCTTTAGTAGGAGGCCGTGTCTCCTCTTTGCGTCTTCCTGAGCGTTTTAGTGAGATTTGGAAGAGCTGGTGCTGTTAACCATCTGCCATTTTATTGTGAGGCCCCAAAACTTAAATTTCCTAGTTGGGCTTTTACCATACCTGGGAAGGGGAATACCACTGGGTAAGCCGCGACTAGACCCCCTCTTGACTCTAGTTTACATCAAATGGAATTTTGCAAATAATTGTGGAGGGCATGGGGTCATTGAGGGACCAGACTATAGCTTCCAGGAATAAACGTCTGCATATCCAGTCATGCTTGTACATTCCGATAGGACTCTGCCCCGCAGACACAACTGCCACTCAGCCGTCCCCCACGCCACCGTTCACTGACCACCTTCTGTGTCCGAGGCCCCCAGGGGCGACGACCGTGAGAAAACAGAAGTGCCTCCGTCCTCGAGAGCTCAGTCGAGCGCAGCAAGCAGGGCGTCGTCATTACACAAATACCACACATGAGAAAAGGAACGTTTTATTTTACTTCTACTGATGTGGCAAATGTTGAAAGAAAAATGTTTTCTAAATAACAAAAACATGACTGAAAAAGAAAATTACTGCTGTCTGCCTTGGAAGAAAGCGCTAAGCCTACGTGCAGTCAGGCACCAGGGTGGGCTTGGAGACCCCCGTGCACAAGCAGCCTTGCTGTAAAGTCAGGCGGGAAGCACACAGTGGGAAGGAATCGCCTCCTGCACTGTTGACCCTCCTCCTGCCACATGTTTTCCTAATCTGCTGTGAAACGTGTTTTTTAGAGGCTGCGATTACTCTATCCTGTTGCCTGTCTCACCTTCCTCTGGAAGATCCTGGAGGCATCACCAGCACCAGGGCAGGCTGCACCCGGGAGGGGTACAAACACGGGGCCAGCTCCTCCTTGGAGATGAAGCTGAGGGGCAGATCACTGGCCTTTTTGGATTTTTCTTTCTTCATGAACTTCACATTTCTATATGGCTCAAAAAACACCCAATGGTTAGGAGCCTGGGTAGGACTCATTCAAGGACATTGTGGAGCGGAAGTTGCACAGGTCAACCAGCCACAGGGCAGAAGTCGCCCAGTGGCCACAGGTGCTTCCGAGGCAGTGCGTCAGACATGGGCAGCCGGGGAGAGCTGGGCCTCCTCTCGCCCCTGGCCTCCGTGAAGCTGCACCTCTTGGGCCCTGGCAGAGGACAAACAAGGGCTTTAGCGGAGGGAGTGAGCCCCCAGCCAGGGAGGGGGCTCACGTCAGGAGGGTGTAATTGAGCCGCAGACGGTCCTCTTAGGAGCTCCTCCTAAAGCCGCAGCACTGTGACTGGGCACATAACTCAGGAACTGAACAGAGCTCCCTGGATTCCGTTGAGCTGATTTACTGAGCAGCTTCAGAGACGTGGGCCCAAGCAGACTGCCTCCCAGGTTACAAAGGAGTCAGGACAGAGTATGAACTGTGAACTACAGATGATATCCGAGAATTCGCGGACGCCAAAACCCAGAAGAGGCCCAAAGAAAAGGAGGGACAAATATTCATTCTAACTTTAAGTAAGATAGAATCTGAGGCTAAGAACTTACCTCAATCTCAAAACTTCTAGACCATTTATCAAGCGGATTGCAAAACAGCAGCAAGGATGGTGAATGGGTGTGGACTCGAGAGGCCATGTGCCCACCCCAATTCCTTCCCCATGCAACTGTGACCCTGAGTTCCACGAAGGTGTAGAGAGAGGCCGCGTGCCTGTCCACTTCCTTCCCCAGGTGACTGTGACCCTGAGTTCCATGATATGCCGACGAAAGATGAACAAATTCCAGCCATTTGTTTAACAAGGATTGGCCTGTCCACTTCCTTCCCCAGGTGACTGTGACCCTGAGTTCCATGATATGCAGACGAAAGATGAACAAATTCCAGCCATTTGTTTAACAAGGATTGGCTAACCCTCTACTGACACAGCGGGCGCTGTAGCAGGCATCTGGGACTCAGCGGCCAACGAGACAAAGTCCTTGTGCCCATGGGACAGAGAGGGGGTATGTGTGGGCCAGCGGGGACGGCAGACCAACCCTGGCAGCGTCTCACTGCCATCCATCCCCAGGGACCCTAGGATCCCAGGATGGGTGTGCTTACATGTGAGCATTCCAGCACACAACGGAGCCTTCCTGGGATGGGACTGGACGGGAAGGGACGGTCACTGTCTATGTTACTCTGTCTCAGCTGTCTTCTTAACAAGCATGTAGGGTTCTGACGGATTTTGTTTTGTTTTGTTTTGTTTTGTTTTGTTTTGCTTTTGCGATGGAGTCTCGTTCTGTTGCCCAGGCTGGAGTACAGGGCCACGAGCTCGGCTCACCGCAACCTCCACCTTCCAGATTCAAGCAATTCTCTTGCCTCAGCCTCCTGAGTAGCTGGGATTACAGGTACCCACCACCTCGCCCAGCTCATTTTTTTATTTTTAGTAGAGAAGGGATTTCACCATGTTGGCCAGGCTGGTTTCAAACTCCTGAGCTCGTGATCCACCTGCCTAGGCCTCCCAAAGTGCTGGGATTACAGGTATGAGCCACCACACCCGGTCAACAATTTCAAATCAACAATGAAAAAGCAAAGAAAGGCTGGCGGCTGCTTGCTCGGGTGGCTGGAGAGAGGCCCATGTGAGACGTGCAGCCCTGCTGCTGGGGAGGGGGGGCTGTATCTGTGGTGCCACAGCCGGCCTGGTGGGTCCCTCCCAGACACCTTCCAGGTCTAAGACGCTCCAGTTCTGGCCAGGTGAGGGGAGGTGATCTTGTGACCCAGTGAGAAGACCTAACTGTGCCCATCCGTTCGCCTCACAGACCCATTGACGGCCAACGGTGCTGGGAACATTTTAGGAGGGTGATGGGGCAAAGGGACGGGTGTTTGTGACACATTCTGGAATTTTTCTGTCCTCACACCAGAACTCTCCTGTCTTTGTGCTATGGTTTGGATGTGTGTGTCCCTCCAACATTCAAAGCCTGGAACTTAAGCACAAGGGTGATCATGTTAAGGGGTGGGGCCCTTTGAGAGGCAGAGCCCTGGTGAATAGATCAGTGCTGTCACCAGAGAGGCTGAAGGCCCCGGAGCCTTTCTGCCCTCTGCTGCCATGCGAGGGCACAGCCATGACGTGCTGTGGGAAGCCGAGGGCAGCTGACCAGACACGAAACCCGGGGCGCCTTGATGCTGAATTCCACCTGCAGGAAACAGGAGGTGCAGATTTCTGTTGCTGATAAATGACCCAGCCTACGGCATTTTGTTACAGCAGCATGATTCCTGGTCTACCTGAGCTACAAAATTCAAGGGAGTTCATTTACTTGTATGATTTCCACACAAGGACAACTTTTAGTACTAATGGAAAACGTGTCTGACTTGCTCTGCAAATATGACATTCCAATAATCCCAAAAGAAGGTGCTCAAGAATTTTAAGAAAACACTGTTGGCAGAGGTCATTTCAGTGGAGTAATTCCTTTTAATTTAGACATGTGTGCATGTATTTTATGCATAAGAAAATAGTTCATTAAGATACATTTTCATGGTAGACTCTTTAAAATCTAGTAGTAATGTAACAATATTTTAAACTGTTCTAAAAATAACTCGAAATACTCTCGGAATAGAGGACCCTGGATGTGGCTCTACGCTCCCCTGGAAGTTTCGTAGATGCTAGAATTTTCTTTGTTTCCATTCAAAAGTAGTCATTTATTTACTTGGAATACCAAAGGAATATTCTTGTAAAATAAATTATATACACAATATACATAGTCTGTATACTTGCACAGAAATGTAAAATTATCCATCTTATATCTTTTAAATTTGGGTCATTACCGAAACGCCGTCCTCTCAGCAACACCCGCTACTTGTGTGGTTCTCCCTCTTGCCACAGGGCTTCCCGCAAAAGCAGACGCAGCCTGTTGCGCTCATCCCCCTCCGGGGCCGCCCACTGCCTCTTCAGGTGCTGGATGTCGATGGAGCCGGAGGTCCTGGCCAGCACCAGGGCCAGGAAGCTGCCACCAGCCTTCTCGGGCTCACCCACCGCAGCCATGGCCACCAGCCTACAGGGAGGGGCACAGAAGCAGAGGGTCAGTGCATACAAAGGGACATTCGGTTATGTCTGAGTCTTCAAAATATCAATCTTCCATGGGAAGAGTGAAACGGATAAGAAATTCTAAAAATACCAATAGCCAAAACGAAAGCTAGACCAGAAATAAATGTGTGAAAACCCATTTCTGCATGTCAGAGGCCTGCCGGATGGACCTTCGCAGAGCTAAGTGATGAGGACGTGCTGCACTCTCTCAGGGTGCCTGCTCTCTCTTCAGGCCAGGAGTCAGTAGCCCCCAGGCAGGTCCCTGGAGAAGGTGGGGGCGCCAGCAGCCCAGGCAGGCCCACCCATCAGAGCCTCACCCTCGGTCTCTGGCCTCCCCGGATCTCACCCACAGCTGAGTGTCAGGGCTCACAAGTCTGCGTCTCCAGCCCAGACTCACCCAGGAGCCCCGGACCCTCCACTCCTGGCCTCCACGGGACCAGCACCTCCATCGTCCACCCAGTGCCCGAGCACGAGACCTGGGGCCACCCTGCCTCCCCAGTCTCACTCCCAGGGGCCCCTTCCCCACAGTGAGGCCATCCTCATCTCACTCTGATGACCACAAGCTCCCTGACCGGGCCCCAGCTCTAAGCCCCTCCCGAGGCTGACAGAGACTCAAAGACACACCTGTGCTGTCCACCTGGCCCCACTCAAACCCCTCCTGTGGCTGGTAGGAACACGCCCAGTCTCTCCTCGTGGTCCTGTGGCTAGTGGGAGCACGCCCAGTCTCTTGTGGCCCTGGGCCTCCGGCTCACACTCCCGGCACCTGCAGCTCCAGGCCTCGCTGGGGAAACCCGTCTCCCCGTGCCTCTGGCAGACTCCCTGCCTATCTTTGCTTCACTCCCACTTGTCCTTTGAGATCCAGCTTGATGCCATCGCCCAGGGACCTGCCAGGATCCCGGCTCTGCCTGATGATGATGGGGGTGGGGTCCCTGCCCTTGTCACTACAGGGGTGAAAACCACATCCAATCTGACAGCTACCTGAGTGCACCCCCTCCCTTCTCACTCCCCAGGACGTGGGGCAGCAGAGTGTGGGAATGAAGCCTTGTGACACCCCAAAAGGGGCAGACCATGAGGAACTACAAGCCACTCAGATTTTCACCAGCGGATACCTGAATACTGCTGTTCAATTGCGTGTGTAAAGCAGGGGTGATGTTTAGCTGCAAACTTGAAAACATCAGTAATGGACGGTGGACACCAAAGGCTTCCCTGACATTGGGCAAATAAAACACAGTCCCTTGGTAAACTATGTCTAGATGCTTTAAAACCACAGCTATGACAGATGTATAAACACAGTACTAGCACCCGTCAGTTCTTTTAAACATCCTTCAGATTTGTTAAGGCAGACAGAATCCAAGCAAAGAGGACAGAGGACAAAAGTGAAAGTTGGGCCCAACGCTGAGCCATCATGAGGCTCCTGCCACCTCCTGTGCTGGCCCCGAAGGCCCCTGCCTGTTCCCCACGGCCAACCTGCTTCTTAACCACACGCAACAGTGAGTCCTTGTCAGAGACTGTAACGTCACTCTAAAAGTGTTAAATCATTGCTTGTATCGAAACTCCTTCCTTTCAAACTATCCATTTCTTCTTGTTCTGTTTCTCTGTCTAACCAGAGAAAAGTAACTGGACACTTTCTGTGTCAGGTACCTCTGGCTGCCCAACAGGAGGAGAGAACGCCACCTCCTTCCAGAGCCTTTTCCTGTGTGGCAAGTAGAGGAACGTGGGCCCGGCTGCCACCTCCTTCCTGAGAGATGGACAGGGTTGACCCAGGCATCCAGCACCGCTGAGGGGTGAGGGGAGCTCCCCAGGGCAGCCAGTCACTGGGGTCTCAGCTGGAGACTGAAGCCAGGGTCCCTAGCACGTTCTCCTTCACGGAAAGCCGTGATGCCCTTAAGAGGAGGCACCAGAACGGAGGGGTCCCTAACCTGCCAGTGACAACAAACATGCTGTCCACTGGGAGCCAGGCTTGGAGCCCGTCACACACAGAGCTGGGGCTCCTGCGCTCGGACCCTCCAGTCCCCTGCCATGGCAGCACAGCCCACCTTGGGGTGTGTCACCCGCCCCTGCCCAGGCCCTGCTGCCCACCCCCAGATCCCATCTCCTAAGTCTCTACCTGCCCCCTCAGCCCTGACCCTCGCTCGTGACCTCTTCCTCATCATCTGCCTCCACAGCACATTTCCCAGCACATTTCGGGAGCCCCTCGTTAACTCTGCTCATCATCTGCCTCCACCAGGGAGTGAGAGACCTCAGGGTGCGGAGCCCCAGGCACCAGGCACAGTCGGTGCTGGGTAAACGTGTTTATCCTGTAATGCAGGCACGAACACACTTTCTGGAATAATCAACTGCAGGTGTGTTGTGTGGTTATCTGCAAGTTACAGTCTGGATTTTCGTGTAATTTTTTAATAATCAGAATAATGTAAGTAAACCCAGGAATCAAACTAAATAAATGCAATTCTTAATTTCATTCAGATCTCACTGGGATAACCCCAACATTCTATTAAACTTTATCTTTCCTTTACAAAAGGGCTGTGGGATTTCTCTCCCCAGGTCAACATGAACCCTCACAGTAGGAGGATTTATTAAAAAGAAATGTAAAATCTCAAGAAAAAAAACACAGGTGAGCAGACAAGCAGGGCCCAGGGAGAGCGCCTCATGATGAAAGTTTTCGTGAACACTTCTGCTGTGAAACAAACAAAGCAACAAAGAACTACCTAACAGTGGTGTCGACGGGAGCGCGTCTGTCTTAATTCCATCAGTGACATCACGTGAACTGATGTGCACGCCCCGGCTGCACTGGTCTGGCTGTGAGCTGGGAGCCCCTTGAGGGGCCTGGGCCGGAATGGCTTTAGTGTGGAGTCACGTGGATCATTAATTCCACGCACTATCCCCTTTTCTCCCTTTAGACACTAGGGGAACACCTAGTACCTCATTCAGACATTACAAACTTATAGTCCATAAGACTGGCAAAGGAACATAACTAAGAAGCTCTCACAAACTATCATTTCTTACTCACAGAATACTAATGTTGGGGAAATACTGCATGATTAATCTATTAATCCAATAGACTACCTTGTGCTAAATATAAAATAATCACACTTTAAAGTGGTTTTAAAAATATTATTTAAATGCACAATCCAAGAGTGAACCCTCAGGTAAACTGTGGACTCAGTGGTGGTGGTGTGGAGGCAGGTCCGTGGTTCCACCTCACGTACCTCCGGCCAGGATGTGGGATAGGGGCTAGAAATCTCTGCCTTCCACTCAACTTTCTGTGAACCCAACACCGCTCTCAAAAACAGTATTTTTTAATTTTTAACTAAACACATTATTTAAATTTACATATGGCCACATCTTAAAATGTAGCAGCCTCATGCAAAAATCAAAGAAGAAAGACCACAAGTGGCACCTGTGGCCAAAGCACCCCCTGCAACCAACAGCTGGTCCAGAACTTCCCCACTTGCCTGTTGGGGGAGAGATGGTGTTTGACAACAGGACCCAGATCGCTCTGGAGGAGGTCCCAGATGTAGATGTTGGATGTGTCATCCTGCACCAGGAACACGGCAGGCCTGGTCGGGGACCACTGCAGGCCGGTGACTGCATGGCTGTCTGTGCTGCTGTCCCACTGCAGGAGCGGAAACGCGGAGCTCAGCTGGTGCAGCCTGATGCTTCCGTCTGAACAGCCAGCCTGTGACCAGGAAGGATGAACACTGCTGAGCATGGTCTTTTCCTTTCTTTTTTTGAGACAGGTCTCGCTCTGTCACCCAGCCTGAAGTGCAGTGGCACAGTCATAGCTCACGGCAGCCTCGACCTCCTGGGCTCAATCAATCCTCCTGCCTCGGCCTCCTGAGTAGCTGAGACTACATGCATGCACCACTACACCTGGCTTCTATATCGTTCGTAGAGATGAGGTTTCACTATGTTGCCCAAGTTGGTCTCGAACTCCTGGCCTCAAGTGATCCTCCTACATTGGCCTCCCAAAGTGCTGGGAGTACAGGTGTGAGCCATCATGCCAAGCCTCTTTTTTGCTTTTTTCTTAACTTGATCTCAGCAGCCAGAGAAATTTTTCAGAGGATTGGTTTTCTTTAGTTTGTACTGCAAAAACATTAATTTGTTGTTTTCCAAACATAAAATTATTAGATTGAATCTCTCCTCAAAAATTACAAAGGTGAGCACTAACCTGACTCTGACACGCTTTGTGTTTCTCTTCCAAAATGGCCAATAATCAACAGACTCAGTGAATATATAAACACGTATTTATTTTTAACAAAGTTGAGTATCAGTGATTCAAGCATGGGCCATTAACATTAGCTCCATGAAAATATGGCACCTTTTACAAAACTACATACATTTGTGTCAATAATATGGTTATATACTTCCCTTGGATTGAAGTTTTCATAAAATTAAACAACTGGTTTAATAAAAGACCAAATTTTTAGCTTTTAAAGAAAAGATTAATTTCTTTTTACTAAATATATTTTATCTTTCCCATATTCAAAAAAAAAGAAAGAAAAAATCAAGAATGGGAGTAAAATTCTAAAATGAAATATAAACAAATTTAAAAACCTACATTCCAAATGAATAACAACCACACAGAAAGGAGGGGCAGGAACCAGGCCACACAATTTCTGAACACCCCAGGAAATGGCGCGCTTTATACCCGAAGCCCAAGCAGAGCCCTGAACACGGGCTGCTCAGTGGCCTTCATCTCCCCAGGCACGAAGAGCTCTGTGTATTCCGAGAGTGAGCATGTGAACGGATAAAGTGCAGGAAGCATCCACCAGATCAATCGTCCTAATAACACACTGTCTGAGAAGCAGGCACCGCCGTGGAGGAGGGAGGCTGGGGGGACCGTTTGTTAGCCTGGAGTTGGAGACGAGGGTGCAAACTCACAGTGTGTGATGCCTGTCTATGTGGTTTACAGATAAAAGCAAGTATTCCGTGTGCTCTGTCTCTGAGCAGGCCCACAAGTATGTCAAACACTTCTTACTGCCCGGATCTTGGCTTCTAGATATTTCCTCTACTCACAAGAGCCAGAACTCTGAGGAGAAGTGGCTGGTTCAGGGCTCACAGGATGACATCAAAAGGATAAAGAGGCAGCTCGAAGGACAGCCACCGACCTAACCCAGAAAATTTGAGCAGCAAAATAAATACTGCTAGTAAATGATTATGACCTACTGAATAAAGTAAAAAGCAACGTGTCCACAACATGTAATAAATAGACACGTACATTCATATACAGAGAAAGGAAAAGTCTCCCCCAACAGTAGAAAGCCAACTAGTACATGTAAAGTTAACGGTGGGCTGGAAAATCACTACTTGCCAATCATCCTAATAATCAACTCAGGCGAGATTCATCCATGGATGCCGGAACTGGTGGTGAAAATCTAAGGAGTTTTGAGACGTTTACAAAGTGTCAGGGTATCTCCCCGTGAGACACTTCATCAGTGGGACCACGGTAGTTCCACCCGGTCAGAATTAGTGTTATGTGGGATGGTACAAACTGACGTCATGGGTCTCCCAAGGACACACATCACCCTGAGCTCCTCCAGCCAAGCACGAAAAAGCTGCGTCTGTGACGGACCGAAACCTCAGACAAGCTCAGGCTCAAGAACATTCTACAAAGTAACTGGCCTGTGCCCTTCAAAAATGTCAAGGTCATGAAAGACGGAGGAATTCAGTCTTTGACATCCAGATCAAGGGAGTTTAAAGAGACAAACCACTGAATGAGATACATGAACTGGGACATGGTTTTTCTTACAAAGGACATTATCAGACAATCCATGCCATCTCCCTCCCTCTACAGATTCGACAGCAGCTTTGTACCAGTGTGAACTCCCTGGTGACCGTGACTACAACAGCTATGTGGGGATGTTCTTGCTTTTAGGAAACGCACGCTGAACTGTTTAGGGATGGAGTGTCATGTCTGCAACTTCCCCTCAGACAGTGAAAACACGCGAACACCCAGAGAAGGAAGCCCGCGTGGTGCTGCAGAGGGTGCGCAGGAAGCCTTTGAACTGCTCGTGTAACTTCTCTGTAAGCCTGAAATTGTGTCAGAATAAAAGCTTTTTTAAAAAAAGTCCATTCAGGCTGGGTGCAGTGGCTCACGCCTGTAATTCCAGCACTTTGGGAGGCCGAGGGGGGTGGACCACAATGTCAGGAGTTCAAGATCAGCCTGACCAAAGTGGTGAAACCCCGTCTCTACTGAAAATACAAAAACTAGCTGGGCATAATGGCTCACACCTGTAATCCCAGCTACTTGGGAGGCTGAAGCAGGAGACTCGAATGAACCAGGGAGTTGGAGGTTGCGGTGAGCCGAGATCGCACCACTGCACTCCAGCCTGGGCAACAAAGCAAGACTCCATCTCAAAAAAAAAAAAAAAAAATCTATCCATTAACCACATGAAATGATTTGTTCCACATGGGCAGATAAGACTTTCAGAAAGCAGAGGTTCTATTTTTTTCAGAAAGCTGAGATGCATGCAGGCGACCCAGTGCCTCTGGTGTGTGGGTGGAGGTCCTCTTGGGAGGGTAGAAACAGGCCAGGGCAGAACCTTCCAGGGGCCGGCCCAGACACCTCTGGAGGCTCCTACGCCTCTGGACTCAGGAACACCAGGATACACGAGTCCTTTGGAAACATCGTTCTTTCATGCATCTTCACAAAACATAAGATTTACTGATAATGTGTACGCTTTAGTCACAGAGGCAGGGTCTGGACCATATAGATTACTATCCAATAGAAATATAATGGGAACCACAAATAGGAACCACATATGTAATTTAAAATTCTCATTAGCCAGGTATGGTGGGGTGCACCTGTAATCCCAGCTACTCAGGAGGCTAAGGCAGGAGAATCACTTGAACCCGGGAGGCAGAGGTTGTAGTGAGCTGAGATCGTGCCACTGCTTGGGTGACAGAGGAAGACCCTGTCTCAAAAGTTAAAAAAAAAAAAAAAAAAAAAAAGAAAGAAAAATCCAGCAGCCACATTAAAAAGTAAAAAACAAACAAACAAAAAACAAAAAAAATGCTGGGCATGGTGGAATGCACCTGTAGTCCCAGCTACTCAGAAGGCTAAGGCGGGAGGGTGGGAGGACTGCTTAAGCCTGGGAGATTGAGGCTGTAGTGAGCTATGATCATGTCACTGCACTTCCAACCTGGGCAACAGAGCAAGACCCTGTCTCTAAAAATTCAAAAAACAAAAAAGGTAAAATGTTACTTCAAAATGCAATCAACAACAAAATTATTGTTTTTTATTGAGATAAAAATATACATCAGTAATTTACCATCTGTATAATTTTAAGTGCACAGTTCTGGGGTAATAAATACATTTATATACTTAGTTTTCTTTTCATCCACACTAGCTCCCCGCTTTCCTGACTTCTGGTAGCCACCATGCCACACTCTGTCTTCATGAGATTCACTGTTTCGGCTGCTATATATGAGTGAGAACATGTGGTATTTGTCTTTTTGTGCCTTACTTAATTTCACATAATGGCTTCTAGCTCCATCCGCACTGCTGCAAATGACAGGGCTTCATTCTTTTTTACACCTGAGTAATATTCCATTGTGTATATACCACGTTTTCCCTATCCATTCATCCACTGATGGGCACTTAGGTTGACACCGTATCTTGGCTATTGTGAATAGTGCCACACTAAATGTAAGAGTGCAGATATCTCTTTGATGCATTTATTTTCAATGTTGTGGATATACCCAGTAGTGGAATTCCCGCATAATACGGTGGTTCTATTTTTAGTTTTTTGAGGAACCTCCATACTGTTTTCATAATGGCTGTACTAATTTACATTTCCAGCAGCAGTGTATGAGGGCTCCCTGTCTTTTTGATATGAGCCAGTTTAACTGCAGTGAGGTGATGTCATGTTGTGGTTTTGACTTGCACTCCTGTGATTACTGATGTGGAGCATTTATTCATATTTCTGTTGACCATGTGTATGTCTTCTTTTGAGACATGTCTGTTCAGATCCTTTGCTCATTTTAAAATTGGATTATTTATTTTTTGCTATTGAGTTATTTGAGCTTCTTATATATTCTGGTTATGAATCCCACGTCAGATAAATAATTTGCAAATATTTTTGTTTCCTTTGCTCTTCAGAAGCCTTTTAGCAAGATGTAATCTCGACTGTCTACTTTTGCCTCCAGCTTTGTTCTTTTTGCTGAGGATTGCTTTGGCTATTCAGGATCTTTATTGATTCCATATACATATTAGAGCTTTTTTTTCTATTTTTGTGAAGAATTTCATTGGTATTTTGATAAGGATTGCATTGACTCTGTAAATTGCTTTGGGCAGCACTGTCACTTTAATAATATGAATTCTGCCAATCCATGAGCATGCAATGTCTTCCCATTTTTTGTGTCCTCTTCTATTTCTTTCATCAGAGTTCCAGTTTTCCTTGTATAGATCTTTCACATCTTTGGTTAGATTGATTCCTAGGTATTTTACAGTTTTGTTGCTACTGTAAAGGAGACTGCTTTCTTGATTTTTCAGATTGTTTGCTGTTGGCATATATACATGCTACTTATCTTTGTATATTGATTTTGTATCCTGCAACTTTACTGAATTTATGTATCAGTTCTAACAGTTTTTTGTTTGTTTGTTTGTTTTGGTGGAGTGTAGGTTTTTCTAGGAAAAGGTCATGCTGTCTGCAAACAAGGCTAATCTGACTTCTT